TGAATAAGGAAGATTGAAAAATTGATGCCTTTGAATTATGACGTTGGCAAAGAATATTGAATATACCATGGACTGCCAAAAGAACAAACAAATCTGTCTTGGAAGAGGTACAGCCAGAACGCTCCTTAGAAGCGAGTATGGTTACGACTTTGTCTTACATACTATGGACATGTTATCAAGAGGGATCAGTCCCTGGAGAAAGACATTGTGCTTGGTAAGTAGAGGGTCATCAAAAAAGAGGAACACCCTCAACAAGATGGATTGACACAGTGGCCGCAACAATGGGCTCAAGCATAGCCAACGATTGTCAGGGTGATACAGGACTGGGCAGTGTTTCGTTCTGTTGTACATAGGTCACAATGAGTTGGAACCAACTTGACGGCACCTAACAAGAACAACACACACAAAGAATAACAATGTAACAGTTTATGAATCTGGAAGAACACTAAATAGAAGTTCTTTATACTACTTTTGCAACTTTTCTGGAAGTTTGAAATTATTTCAAATTAACAATAAAAAGTTAAAACAAAACAATTTGGTTGTTGTCATAAGAAGCTCAGTAGGTGACCTGAAATGCAGATGGAAAGGAGGAATATCCTCTGAACAGTACAAACAAATGTATTAGTATATGAGAAACAAGCTTAGAAATATGAAAGAAACACCCAGAAGACCTAATATTTGTCTAATATGAGAAAAGAGGGAGGAAACAAAGAAATAATGGAAGAAAATCTCAGATCTGAAGAAAGATTAAAAGGACTCAATTAGTACTAAGCAACAGAAATAGAAGTGGCACATTCAAACATCAAAACATCAAGGATAAAAAGAAAACTTGTTTCTTAAATGAAAAATTATGTTAAACTCAAATGCATGTCAGAATTCTCACTGGCAACACAGGATGCTGGAAGATCACAGAATAGTATCTTCAGAGTTTCAGTCTATCTCCAGCCAAACTACTAGCCAAGTATGAGGGCAGAATTAGCCAATAAAAATTGCTTTTGAAATGTATGACCAAAATTTCACAATAGCGCAGGTCTCTTTTGCTCTAGCCTTTCAATTCTTTCAAACATTTTCCAGCACTTACTTGCTTTTCAGTCATACAGTAGAGCAACAAAGAGAGCAACAGATGTGCTCATCAACTCGAATCATCCAGATTCTAAATTTGCTTTAAAATATGACCCAAGATCTGATCAAAAGGGGGAAAATGCAGAAGAGAATTTTAAATTCTCATAGAATCCAGACTTTCTTGAGCCACTGAGGCTGGATGCAGCCCCGAATCTACTGCTCTGAGATAATCTTTAAAGCTTAAACCAAACCTATCCCCTGAAGTCTTCTTTAAACCAAATAGTTTAGCTTAATTAGTAAAGAATGCATGCCTTGAGCATTTTACTCTTTCAAAGAACTATCTATGAAGGATCAAATTGACAATAGCAACTCAACAGACAGAAAACTTAGGGGGTAGTTTCTGTTAACGGAGGAGGAACAATCCAAAAAGGAGGGCAAGAATGGTTGCACAACTTGAAGAATGTAATTGTCACTGAATTGTACATGTGGAAATAACTGGTGTATGTTCTGCTGTATATATTCTCAACAAAAAAATAAACTATTAAAACAATAAAAAAGGTACACCCCTCCCCCCCAAAAAAGACCCAAGAAATTCTCCTAGTTTGAATATACTCTCAATATAAGCATTCTGTATTTCCGTATTGACTTTTAAATACTGCTTATCACTTCAAGTTCTCTGCATAAAATTTAGGGTAATTATAGTGAGGTGGCCTCTGCCTTCACTACTGGCTGACCACCGTCAGTGGACCATGTCCACCAAGTCAGGGATGTACTGCTCCCAGCGCTGAAGCAGGCTTTTCAGGAACTCACATCTAACTCAGAAATGAAGTGCCAGAAATGGTCAATGCACCAGGAATAAACCCAAGACCCAAACGACTGCTGAGTCGATTCCAACTCATAGCGACCCCATAGGGTTTACAAGGCTGAAATCTCTAAGGAAGCAAACTGCCACATTTTTCTCCCTCGGAGCTGCTGGTTTCAAACTGCTTTTTGGTTAGCAGTTGAGTGGTTTACCACTGCGCCACCAGGGCTCCTTGTACAAGGAGCAGTAGGAATAGGCAGATAAACGTTTCTCTGAGTGAGGATTTAATAACTGAATTAATATCAAAGTTACCTACTAACTATTCTGGAAGAACAGAGTCCTTGTTTCTTCTTGTCTGCTCTATTAGAGAAACGTCGGAAATGGACCAACCGACCAGCGAGTTTAACAGATTATGCTGGGAAGAAAAATGAAGAGATCTAGATAGTTTTAGGACCAGTCTTTTATACAAAGAAGGAAAAGCTAGCAAGCATTTGGCAAGTCCAGGAAATCTCTAATTCTTCTTCTTCGAGCTTCATTAGAGTGCATGCTATTATTTTCAAGACACTATTGTGTACTGACTCTAAACGGAGCTCCTGTAAGTAATCTCTAATTGGCTATCTCCAAACATGAAGATTTAACATGGTTTTAAAAAATATATAGTATTTTATTGTGTTTTTGATGAAAGTTTACACAGCAAAGTTAGCTTCCCATTTAAAAATTTCTACACATATTGTTCAGCGACACTGGTTACATTTTTCACACTGTATCAACATTCTTGTTATTTCCATTCTGGTTTTTCTGTTTCCATTAATCTAGCTTCCCTATCCCCACCTCCCCTCCCTTATCTTTGCTTTAGAGTAAATGTTGACCATTTGGTCTCATACAAATTTTTAAAAACAGCAAAGTACTCATTGGTGATATTTATTTTATGATCCAATCTGTTATTTAGCTGAAAGGTGACCTCTGGCAGTGGTTTCAGTTCCAAGTTTAAAGGGTATCTCAAGCAACAGTCTTGGCAGTTCCTCCAGTCTCTACAGGTTCAGAAGGTTCTGGCCTTTTTTTTTTTTTTTTTTAAGAATTTGAGTTTTGTTCTACATGTTTCTTCCATTCTATCCAGGACCATCTATCATGTTCCGCTCCATAAGGTTGGTAGTGAGAGCCGGGCACCGTCTATTTCTTCTGGTCTCACGAAAAAAGGTGGTTCGTGTGGGCTATTAGTCCTGTAGTTTCATCTTTGAGTCTTTGGTTTCCTTCTTTTTCTTTTGCTCCAGACGAGTAGAGACCAACAGTAGTATCTGAGGCGGCCACTTGCCAACTTTTAAGACCCCAGACACAACTCACCAAACTAGGATGCAGAACTTTATGAACTATGTCATGCCAATTGACCGAAATGTTCCACAAGACTATGGTCCTAAGCCTTCAAACCCAGTAAACCAATCCTGTGAGGTGTTTGGTTATGTCTAGGTAGTATCCATAACTGTGCCCCCATGTGCTTTATTATATATACAGATATATATGCGGCACACATACATGTATATACATATGCCTACAGATACACCTATACATGTACACACAGAATTAACATGTTTTAAGAAAAGGCATCAGGAGGCACAGTGACATTCATACTCATTTGCACACAACTGAAAATTAGCTCTGATGGTTGGTGAGACTAAGTACAGAAGGGAAAACGATATCGTTGCAGAGCAGAATGAAAACTATCCTAAGGCTTTACTTCCCCGAAACTTAAGCTTTTAAAAAAGCATTTGCTGCAGGAGAAACACCATGTTGTTGGGTGCCATTGAATCGAGTCTGACTTTTAGCAACCCCATGTGACAGAGCAGAACTGCCCCATAGGGTTTTCTTGGCTGTAATCTTTATGGAAGCAGATTGCCAGCTCTTTCTCCAGCAGCTGGGTGGGTATGAACCACCAACCTTTTGGTTAGCAGCCAAGTGCTAAGGTCAAATAACTGACATTACACTAAGAGACGTCAGTTATAGGAAAAGGAATCAGGCACTAACATCTACTAGCAGAAACTGGAAAAGCTTGAAAGAAATTACATGATCAGGTAGTGAGAAGGGCACTCTCATAAACTGCTAATAGGAGTGTAATGAAAAACCCTTCTGGGCAGCAATATGGCAATATTTATTAAGAGCCTTAGATCCCCCTCCCCATTTTAAACAATCTTTCAAAAGTCCGTATCTTTTAATCCACTGGTTCCATTTCTAGGAATGTAACCTAAGAAAATATACAGATTTATGTACAAGAATGTTCAATACATTGCTATATTTTCCAAAACAGTGGAAATAATCCAAGTATTCAATAGGGAATTGTAGAAATAAACTATTCTACTTGGTGGAATACCATGCAACCAATTTTTTAAAGTTATGCTTTCAATAGATATTTAATGACATACTATAATTTTACTATTGTAAAACAAATGCAGACAGAAAAAAGACTGAAAAGAAACATTCAAATGTAAACAGTGGTAATGTCTGGGTGAAAGAATTTTGAGTGATTTTTACTTGCTTCTTTATTCTTTCCTATGTTTTCTAAAATTTCTGCAATGACTACACATTTTTAAAATCGGGAAAAAAGTTTTTTTTTAAAAAACGAAAAAGAATCTTCACTGTAATACTTTTATAACTCTCTATCTACACAAAGGGAAGGGGAGGGAGTGTATGGCCACTTACCTGCCCCGTGCTATCCTGGATTCCTGTAGTTGAAGTGCACATCTCAGGAACACACGTATGTAGCACTAACTTGTTATAAAATCTCACCATACATTGTGATTTCTGATACACAATACTTTCCCAGTATAGTATCACAAAACACATCACTAAGGTATACTAAAATAAGGTTTACTTCAAAATGATACATTGGACACAATCTGTATACAGAACAAAGCAATTAATGGTAAACTTAATAAGGCACCTTTTAAACTAGATGCTGTACAAAATTACAAAACATTTAGTGTGTTACATATCAAAGATGAATCTATATTTTTGGTGTTTTACAATTGCATAATAAAACTGCTTATTTTTATCCTTCTTTTAATGTTTACTTACAGTTTCCCTAATTAAGCTATAATATTTCCACTTTACATAATATATACTTACATTTTACTTTTTAAATGGGCAAGGACAAAAGTCACTAAAAGGGCTTAAATAATTCTATTTAAAGCATAGTACAGAGTACAAGCTAAAATGACAATATATTTAATCTTTTGCGAAAGTAGTATTCACCATATTTTCCTTATGGGATGATCATTACATGAGACTTCACATTATGTTGACCTAGACTTAATTTGGTTTTATGAAAACTTGATGTCTCTGTAGAGTTTCCACTGTGACTCTCATAACATGAGGCAAGAAGATGAACCACTACACTGTTATTTTAATATCTGACCCAAGTAAATAATACCACCACTTTTAAACAGTACAAGCGCTATAACAGTCTTTTAAAAAATCAACTGGTATTTCTGTGGTTGAGATTATTTTATTTAGAAACATTTCAAAACACCATATATGAAAAGAAATATAAGTAATTTAATTTATAAAATCCTCCTTGGAATAAATTCAACTTCAAATTTGATCTTTGGCCAATTCATAAATGCGTAAGTCTTTAAAAATTGAATTACATTTTTGTTCCAAAAGGGAATTGAATTTTTGTTGAATGAATAAATTAAAAATCTGGCACATTCTAAGAAAACATAATTAAAAAAAAAACAGGTCATTTTCAAGGTTTAGAAAAACGTCTAGACATTGGAAAGGCAATATAAAATACTTATTAAAATATCTTTTGCGAAAATATTTCCAGAGAAATCAGAGTCAAAATTTATACTTCAGAAACTTGGTTGATAAGAAAGCACAACAAAAGCTTAAACAAACTGGAGAAGACAGTGCTAGTGTGCCTTTAATTCTAGAGATATTTAGTCTATGGAAAATCTAAAAAGAGAATTTTGAGGGTTTATTTTTGTTTATATTCAGGTAGTTTTGGTGTTTTCTTTGTTTTTATGTTTTAATTATTTGAAGGGATGACTGACAGAGCCACCTATTTTTGAAACGTTAAACTGTAAGAGGGACAAATGGCTTCCAGACATTTACAAAGTACCAACTGTGATGCTACACTTACCGGCCTGCCATAAGCTTTAAATACTTCACCTACTGGAGGAACTTAACGTGTTAAAAGAAGGAGAAAAGAAAAAAACAAGACTCATACAACCTTTTTAGACTTTAGAATCCCATATATGGCAGGATTTGTTTTTTAAAGACTGTATTATGCTAGAAATTGTTTTTACTGAACAAGTTTCTAAGATTAATCATTTTTATTCAATCAAGTAAATTTTAAAAAATCTTTATAGTGGTCTCGCACTTGCATACTGTCTGTAAGCTTCTGCCTCCGTCTACCATTTTAACATTTCCAAGAGGAAAGTTTGCTTTCCTTATTTTTTTGTTTATTGACAAATGATTTTTAAGATTATAGTTTCGCAAGTAAAAAATAAATCAAGGTTAACTTAAGACTAAATCAGAGCTCTTAAATGCTCTCAAATCACAAGGCAATTTATAATATCTGTATTTCTCAGGATAGAGACGGGAAAAAACATTATAAAAGTACAAGTTACTGTGTATTATCAACCTGCAAATTTACTTATCACGATGAGCACTTCAAATTTCAATTAAATGAAACTTAATCAAACACAGTCAAAACTGTTCAATCTTTCTAAGCAAGTTTCAAATTTATGAAATTTGACATGTAGACAAATAAATGAGCTCATCCTTAATGCCAGCCAATTTATTTGTAATGGATGGACAAACGCTGACTTTCCTCCCTTTAATTTAAAGCTTTTTGAATATGCTGTGATATAATCACATTTATTTTATTTTTCATTCAAAGGAAATTGCATGACTTGATGCATCCATGAGTTGTTTTTTCAGAACAGGACATAAGTATAATAACTTTAAGTAAATAAGAAATATTCCTTGGGATAACAAGGTATCTATAAAATACGTAGAATTTTATTGAATAACTTCTATAAAGTATACATATAGATACGGAATAGATACTGATTTTTTTTTTTTCTGACTCTTCGTTTTCTTCACAAGTTATGGAACACAAATCATAAAACCAAAAATTTTAAATAATTTAGATGTCTAAAACTTATTTAACAGTTTTTGATAAATTTATATACGCTCCAACATATAAATTTCTAATTAGTGGTTCCTTTCATGAAGGAAAATTGAAATATTCTCAATGAAAGATTTCTGCCTCAAGTACATCTTAACAAAACAAAGTCTTGGATTTGATCTACTACACTGAATGCATTCATTCTGATAATTCACATATCACTCTACTTTATAAAATCTTTTTCTGATGATCTTTTTTTTCCCTTAAGGATGGGATGTGAGGTCCACATAAGCTGGTTTCTACAGTATGAATATGGTTGTCATGGAGCAGTTTTGCAAATAAAGCACATTACACAGAAAATATAAATAACTTCCCTTTCAAAGTTACTGAGAATAAAGAATACAAAATATGGTTATAGGCACTTACATTGCTATCAAATGCAGTAATTCACTTCAATAAGAAGTGTTTTCTTCAGAAGGTTCATGGCATTGGAAGTTCCAATTTTGGATAGGATGCTTTTCATGACATAAAAATAATTACCCAAAAAAAAAAAAAAAAGATGGTGGTGAGGAAAACAAAGTCCAAATTTATAGACATTTTAAGCTTCTTTTGACCTTTGTATCACCTTTTATGTTAAAAAATGAAGTTGGCGGGGAAACTGATCTCATTTGTAAGGTAAATGGCTTTTATGTTATTGGCCAATCTTGGTCAGATATTGCATTTTTAAAGCACAAAACCACCAGCCACCAATCTCTTCTGTGCATTCATAATCCTAGTGTGCACGTGCATGGCCACGCATACACACCCCATTATAAAAGCATGACAAACTACGATAAACTAAGTGGTATCCCAGACAAATCATAATCTATAGGCTGTTTTACAAAGGCAGAATACAAACAGATTACATTTTCTCAGGTAGAGGCAAAAGTTATTATTTCTCCATCTCTGCTAAATTCATTTATCTTCTTAAGGCTTTCACAGAAAGCACCGTTTCACGAACAGGCAATTCAGTACCCAGACTTTGACTGGAGACTTTCCCAGAATTAAAGTCTTGATGCAGTTCATAAAAAAAACAAAAAGAAAGGCATCAAAAACCACATTTAAAATAAAGCTGTCCACATATAAAGACTGAAGTGTTTAGAAGTTCCCAGCTCGTATTCTACAGAGTACTGAAAGGTTTAATATTAGCAGCCCGTGAAGGTGTGGTGAGGAAAGAGTCTGAGAACCAAGTTAACATCCTTATTCTCCCCATTCCTTGGGTGAAACAGTTGCAGTCTAGAATTTCTCCTCATGACTGTGTGACTGTCAAATCTTTACATCTTGGGATTCCACCATCTTGGCAAGTGTCTTCTTGATTCTCAGTGCTGTAAGCCTAGAGGCTGGATTGTGGGCCCAGCATTCTGACATTAGCTTCAAAACTGCTCGTAGACACTGAAAAAGTAAAGAGACGATAGTGAGTAGGTGAACATCTTTGGCAAGACTTCCAATTACTTCCTCAGGGGGTTGAGTTCCACTTACTTCATCACTGTTCCATCGATTAGACACAATTGGCCGCAAACGTTTGACACACACAACTTCACGCATATCTTCATATGAAGGATCACTGGGTACCATGTTGTAGTATGGCAATTGGTACTCCTCTACAATCCCTGGAAATAATGAAAAACACACTGGGCACAAAAATAGTGACTGGAAAAAATGTATCTATTCAGCATCTCTCACTGAACTATGAAACTAAAATGGATTCCCACATAAAGACTAAAAAAATTAGAATGGATGACTCACCTTCAACAGTAACTGCATGTTCTTCTCTTATGTTCAATTATTTCCTCTATCTCCATAAAGGTCCCCATTACAACTATGATACATTCTATCCACAAAGGGTATATCACCAATATCTCTTAGAAAAAGCAAGGTGAATTGCTCACTTTCCCAAAACTTTTAATCTAATTATTTTCTTACATGACTGCTCTAACGAATGTGGTTTGATTTTGTTTTGCAGCAGACTTAACATGATGTGCAGAAAAGAGTTAAGATAGCAGGTCTGAGGCTGCTATGCTTAGAAAGGGCTGCTTGCAAGGTGGCCCTGGGTCGGTATTGGGGAACACGTTTGGTAAGCAGTTCCCCACAGCAATACAAAACTTTCTGAAAATGGTTAAGAGTAGCTGTCTGTGTCTAAACTGTACAACAATGTGGTTTATGCTGAACACCTGTTTTCCTTCTGGAAGTCTGGAATTTTGGTCTGTGCAGGGCAGAGGATGCCTATGTGACCAGTTCCTGGTAAAATGCTTGTGTGCTCAGTCTCTAATAATATTTACCATAGGTTATCACAGCTTGTTACTGGAAGAATTAAGCATGTCCTGTGAAACTCCACTGGGAGAGGACTTTTGGAAGCATAAAACAAAACAATCCGTGCCGTCAAGTCAGTTTTAACTTATAATGAACCTACAGGGCAGAGCAGAACTGCCCCACATGGTTTCCAAGGCTGTAATCTTTATAGAAGCAGACTGCCACATCTTTCTCCTGCAGAGCTGCTGTTGGTTTGAACCGCTGACCTTCTGGTTAGTAGCCAAAGGCTTAACCACTGTGACACGAGGGCTCCTTTTTTGGAAGCATACACCTGGTTTTCTCTGGACTTCACTTCAGAACTTTTCCCCTTTGCTGATTTTGCTTTGTACCCTTTCACTGTAATAAATCTTAGATGAGTACAACTATATGTTGAATCCTGTGAGTCCTTCTAGAGAATCACTGAACCTAGAGGTGGTCTTGGGGGCCCCTGACTCACCTAACATTTAAATTATATAACTGGGGAAATTATTTTTAAAATGATGGATATACAAGTATAACCAGAACCACACTGCCCCAAATTCCTACCTCCTGTGATACAACGACGAGCCATTTCCCAAATGATCAGGCCAAAGCTATAGATGTCAGCCATTATGTACGGCTGGAAATGGTTTTTATTCAGGCTTTCATCTAACACTTCTGGAGCCATATAGCGTTTGGTACCCACCCTGGTATTCAAGGGCACATCAACTTCGTTTGTATCACTGAAACAGCAGAAAGACAACATACATGTTAAGGTCCATGTTTATGAAATAGTTAATCTTGTATTTTGTCACACTGTGTAACTATTAGTCTCTATATATACCTCCACAGTCCCCTATCAGAAATCCTTGGGGTCAGATGTATTCTGAAATTTATAATCTTTCTGATTTTATAAAAGTAATATGCCCTTTAAATATATGATACATGTTATACAACAGCCCCAGCAGGGTCTGAAACAGTACTCTTAGTCAAACTCATTATTATGTCTAAAGAAAAACACTAAGTATGAATATTCATAGTAAGCTGGATAAATAGAGACAAATAAATACCTTATATCAGTTCAGGTCAGGTTTTGCCACCAAATGAGTTTGGTGCCTCGCTAAGAAAAGAGGACAATACTGAATATAAGCAACAGTGCAGTTGAGTATGACTCAGAAAAAAAGAAGGGGAAAATAAATTGAGAGGAATCATTTACTTTTATCATTCTCAGTTCTTTCTGGATTTCAAGATTGCAGATAAGGATTGAGAACTTATAATTTGAAAAATCCCACTGGGCACTCAAAGATTCATATTAAAATCAATCCACAGTTACACCTTTATTTAATTTCCCACATTCACGCTTTAGGACTAATTCTATGTTGCTCACTTTTGTAGTGCCTTGGAAAGAATACCAGACTAAGTGTTCACTCTCTCCTTTGTGTATGTTCAGAAATTTAATGACAAAAAAATCTTAAAAAGTACAGGAAAAGTATTCAGTAAGTATTTGCTAAGCTTTCCCATGTGTCAAGTCTTGTAGTAGACGCTGTTGTTGTTGTTAGGTGTTGCTGAGTTGGCTCTGACTCATAGCAACCCTATGTACAACAGAATGAAACACTGCCCGGTCCTGCGCCCACCTCACAATCCACGGTGTATTCAATATTCTTCACCAACACCATATGCTTGAGTCCATTGTTGCAGCCACTGTGTCACTGCATCTCGTTGAGGGTCTTCCTCTTTTTTGCTGACCCTCTACTTTACCCAAGCATGATGTCTTTCTCCAAGGAGTAGTCCTTGCTGGTAACATGTCCAAAGTACCTGAGACAAGCATTCTGGCTATACTTCTTCCAAGACAGATTTGTTTGTTCTTTAGGCAGTCCACGGTATATTCAATATTCTTCACCAACACCATAATTCAAAGGCAACAATTCTTCTTCGATCTTCCTTACTCATTATCCAGCTTTTAGATGCATATGAGGTGACTGAAAATACCGGGGCTTGGGTCAGGGGCACCTCAGTCCTCAAAGTGACAGCTCTGCTTTTTAACACTTTGAAGAGGTGTTCTGCAGCAGATTTGCCCAATGCAATGTGTCATCTGATTTCTTGACTGCTGCTTCCATGGGCATTGATTGTGGATCCAAGGAAAATGAAATTCTTGACAACTTCAATCTTTTCTCTGTTTATCATGTCACTTATTGGTCCAGTTGTGAGGATTTTTGTTTTATGCTGAGATGTAATCCATACTGAAGGCTGTAGTCTTTGATCTTCACCAGTAAGTGCTTCAAGTCCTCTTCACTTTCAGCAAGCAAGGTGGTAACATCTGCCTACTGCAAGTTGTTAATGAGTCTTCCTCTAAATCTGATGCCCCGTTCTTCTTCACACAGTCCAGCTTCTCGGATTATTTGCTCAGCATACAGATTGAATAAGTATGGTGAAAGGATACAACCCTGACACACACCTTTCCAGACTTTAAACCACACAGCATGCCCTTGTTCTGTCTGAACGAACGCCTCTTGGTCTATGTACCGGTTCCTCGTGAGTATAATTAAGTATTCTGAAATTCACATTCTTTGCAGTGTTATCTATAATTTGTTGTGATTCACACAGTCGAATGCCTTTGCAAAGACAATAAAACACAGGTAAACATCTTTCTGGTATTCTCTACTTTCTGCCAAGATCCATCTGACATCAGCAATAATATCCCTGGTTCCATGCCCTCTTCTGAATCTGGCTTGAACTTCTGGCAGTTCCCTGTTGATGTACTGCTGTAACCAATTTTGACTGATCTTCAGCAAAATTTTACTTGTGTGTTATCATAATGATAATGTCTGATAATTTCCACATTCTGTTGGATCACCTTTTTTTTTTTGGGAATGGGCACAAATTGTCTCTTCCAGTCGGTTGGCCAGGTAGCTGTCTTCCAAATTTCTTGGCATAGAAGAGCGAGCACTTCCAGCGCTGCATCCATTGGCTGAAAAACATCTCAACTGGTATTCTGTCAGTTCCTGGAGGTTTTTCGCCAGTGCCTTCAGTGCAGCTTGGACCTCTTCCTTCAGTATCATCAGTTCCTGATCATATGCTACCTTCTGAAATGGTTGAACGTCAACCAATACTTTCTGGTATAGCAACTCTGTATTCCTTCCATCTTCTTTTGATGCTTTCTGTATCCGTTAATCATCTTCCTCGCAGAATCCTTGAACACTGCAACTTGAGGCTACAATTTTTTTCTTCAGTTCTTTCAGCTTGAGAAATGCTGAATGCATCCTTTTCTTCCCTTTTGGGTTTTCCTAACTCCAGGTCTTTGCACATTTCATTATAATACTTTACTTTGTCTTCTCAAGCCAGCCTTTGAAATCTTCTGTTCAGCTCTTTTACTTCATCATTTCTTCTGTTTGCTTTAGCTACTCTATGTTCAAGAGCAAGCTTCAGAGTTTCTTCTGACATCCATTTCGGTCTCTTTTTTTCCTGCCTTTTTAATGACCTTTTGTTTTCCACAAGTATGATGTCCCTGATGTTATCCCACAATTATTCTGGTCTTTGGTATTAATATTCAATGTCTGAATTCTGTTCCTGAGAGGGTCTCTAAATTTAGGTGGGATATACTCAAGGTTGTATTTTGGCTCTTGCAGACTTGCTCTAATTTTCTTCAGCTTCAACTTGAACTTGCATATGAGCAACTAATGGTCTGTTCTGCAGTGCGCCCCTGACTTTGTTCTGATGATCTGAGTTTCTACATTGTCTCTTTCCACAGATGTAAGTTGATTTGATTCCTGTGTATTCCACCTGGTGAGGTCCACGTGTATAGCTGCTGTTTATATTGCTGAAAAAAGGTATTTGCAATGAAGAAGTTGTTGGTCTTACAAAATTCTATCATGCAATCTCCGGTGTCATTTCTATCACCAAGGCTATATTCTCTAACTGTCAATCCTTCTTCATTTCCAACTTTTACATTCCAATCACCAGTAAGGCATCTAGATTGCATGTGTGATCAATTTCAGACTGCAGAAGTCAGTAAAAATCTTCAATTTCCTCATCTTTGGCATTATTGGTTGATACGTAAATTTGAATTAAAAACTTGTTGCTGTCGAGTCAATTCTGGCTCATAGTGACCCTATAAAACAGAGTAGAATTGCCCCATACGGTTTCCAAAGAGCAGCTGGTGGATCTGAACTGCCAACCTCTTGGTTAGCAGCCGAATGCATAACCACTGCACCACCAGGGCGCCACATTTGAATAATAGTCATATTAACTAGTCTTCCGTGTAGGTGATGGATATTATCCCATCACTGACAGCACTGTACTTCAGGATAGATCTTGAGATGTTCTTTCTGATGATGAATGTGATGAGATTCCTCTTCAATTTGTCATTCCTGGCATAGTAGACCATATGACTGTCTGACTGAATATGGCCAATACCAGTCCATTTCAGCTCACTAAGGCTTAGGATATTGATCTTTAGGCATTCCATTTCATTTTTGATGACTTCCAATTTTCCTAGATTCATACTTCTTACATTCCATGCTCTGATTATTAATGGATGTCTGCAGCTGTTTCTTTCATTGTGAGTCGTGCTACCTCAGCAAATGAAGGTCCTGAAAGCTTGACTCCCTCCACGTCATTAAGGTCGACTCTATTTTGAGGAGGCAGCTCTTCCCTAGTGGTCGTTTGAGTGTCTTCCACGCAAAAGGGGCTCATCTTCCGGCACTGTATCAGACAGTGTTCCGCTGCTATTCGTAAGGTTTTCACTGGCTAATTTTTTTAGAAGTGGACTGCCAGGTCCTACTGCTTAGTCTATCTTAGTCTGGAAGCTCTGCTGAAACCTGTCCACTATAGATGACCCTGCTGGTATTTGAGATACCGGTGGCATAGCTTCCAGCATCACAGCAACATGCAAGCCACCACAGTACGACAAACTGACAGACGTCTGGGGCTCTACTAGATATTGGGGATTAAAAACAAAAAAGACTTGCCCTCATGCTGCTTATAATTTAGCAAAAAAGACAATCATGTATGTAATAGGTAACTGTTAAACATATTCTATTTTGAGCTTTGCTATTAGATACTGAATAAGGAAGACCGAAGATCTGATGCCTCTGAATTATGGTGTTGGTGAAGAATACTGAATATACCATGAACTGCTAGAAGAATAAACAAATCTGTCTTAGAAGAGGTACAGCCAGAATGGTCCTTAGAAGCAAGGATGGCGAGACTTCATCTCATGTACTTTGTACATGTTATCAGGAAGAGTCCGGTCCCTGGAGAAGGACATCATGCTTGGTAAAGTAGAGGGCCAGCGAAGGAGAGGACGACCCTCAACGAGATGGATGGACACAGTGGCTGCAACAATGGGCTCAAGCATAACAACAATTTTGAGGATAGTGCAGGATTGGGCAGTATTTCGTTCTGTTGTACATAAGGTTGCTATGAGTTGGAACCGACTCAATGGTACCTAACAACAAAAATACTACTTGTGAATAACGAATACACACAGTTTTATTTGGCTAGCACCTTTTCCTTCTTGTTTTTGAGTCATTTTATATAGAGGGAACTAAAGTCATGGGCATAGATAGCGTCACCTAAGGAGAAATTATTATTGGGAAGAGGAGAGGGCCTGAGGCTGAGAGGAACTTCCACATTTGGTTGTTATGTGGATGAACCTGCGAAGAGATAGAGAAGGAACATCTGGAGAAGTAAAAAGAAACCAATAGTGTTATGTCACAGATGCAAAGAGAAGCAAGTATTCAATAAGGAAAAAAGAGTCAACACTGTTGGATGTGCTGAGGTTAAATAAGTTGGCAATGAAAAAGTCTTTAGATTTATCAACACGAAGGCAAGTCATTGGTGACCTTAGTAAGAGCTATTTCAGTGGAATGATAGGGGTGGAAGCCAGACTGGAATGGGTTGAAGAGCAAACAGGAGTGAAAGTAATGCAGTCCAGAAGGTTATCATTCACTTACTCATAGGAAAAAAATGACATCAGGGAGTAAGGAAGTAAAATGAAATAGAAATCTAAGAACAAGGACAACACTGAATGTAAGAAACAGTGGCAAACCCATGAAAAGTAAATGGGAAAATAAAAATTAGGAGAGGAATAATTTACTATTTTCATGTGATAAGCACAGCCTTCATGACATAAGGGTAACATTTTCTTCTTTATGGGTCCAATTGTACTACTTAGTTCTGTTGTAATGCTTACATAATCATATCGATAATTAGTAATAAAACATGTTTATTGGTTTTTCAACTTTTGGACTATATTTTAGAGTTGGAAGACATGAATGCTTTGTTGCTTAGGCCTCCAGTTCTAACAGATTCTGGGTGCTGTACTCTGAGGCAGAGATTAATAATGCATTATATTTTCTTATACAGCATCTGATGAACATTTGAGCCAACAGACACTACATTGATGAAAAAACAACAGAACAGGTTTAGAACATAGTATCAACCAGGGGAAAGAAGATTTAAATGTCTCTCATTTTAACTAACAGACTGGTTCTTTTATTTTATAAACAGAAGTAAATTCTGAAATGCTAAATGGCTGTTGCATTCTGGAGTTTTCTAAAATTATATAATTCTAATTTAAAAATATTGACAATATCAAGTGGGATGGAGAAATGGCATACTTATAACCTGTTTGTGAGAGGGTAAATTAATGCACACTTTCTGAAAGGATAATACGCAATATACTGTAATTTTAACATGTACATACCCTTTGTCTGATCACTCCTCTAGGAATCCATCTTAAAGAAATAATTACAACACAAAAATGTTTATCAAACTATTTTTGTAATGACAGAAATAAACTAGAGACACAACCTTAGTGTTCATCAACTGGGTAATAGTTGGGGAAAAATTATAGTACATCCACATTACGGACAACTTTGCATCTGTTAAAAAGAATGAGGTGGATCTATATAAACTGAAATGAAAGAATGCCTAAGACAATAAAAAGCAGGAAAGTGAACAAGATGCATAGTAAGATGCAATTTTTGTAAATGATAAACCAAAAAACAACCATATAGTAACTATATATTTATATAAGTATATGAACACATGCACAAATTTTTGGAGTTCCACATTCCTGAATACAAACAAGCAAATATCTTTTGGAAATTAAAATAATTTCAAAACAGTGGGGCAAAGAGCTACTCACCTGTTGAATTTAACAGCAAGGCCCAGGTCAGCAATACAACAACTTCCATTTTTCTTGATAAGAATGTTTTTGCTTTTTAGGTCTCGATGAGCAATTGCAGGCTTTCCTTGGGTGCCATAAATTTCTGTGTGGAGATGGCATAGGCCACATGCAGCTGAATAAGCCAACTTGAGCAGAGCTCTGGTGTCTAGTGTAGCACATTTCAGGAAGTCATAGAGAGATCCATTTTCATGGTAATCAGTAATCAAATAGAGCTGAGTCCAGGAACCTGTGCCTTTAATGTCTGCTGCTATAAAACCTGTCCAATTAATGAGTTTAAAAGGTTAGTTATCATCAGAGGTGGCTGCGAAGAGTAATGAATGCTCACTCAGGATATTGAGAACAACCTATGTAATGAAAGAGATGATAAAAATTTAATCTGCCTGACAATATCTCCTGAATTTGTTGCCAAAAACTGTATTTCTACCATTTACATACAGAACTGTATGCTTCTGGATTATATTTAAAATAATCTTAACAACAATCATGAAAATGATAATACAACTAAGAAAAACTATAAGATCACATTACCAGTTGCCATTGAGTCTACTCCCACTCAGGGTGGCCCCATGTGTGTCAGAGTAGAACTGTGCTAGATAGGGTTTTTAATTTTTCCAGGACTTTCTTCTGAGACGCCTCTGGGTGGATTCGAACCTCCAACCTTTTGGTTAGCAGCCGAATGCCGCATTAGCCATTTGCCCCACCCACTCTGTAAGATCACGTATCATATAATAATTTGGGAAATGTTATCAATCTACATGATTCTCTAAGCAGGTAAAACTATAAAGAAAGAATGAGAAATGCTCTCAATTTCAAATTGAAAAGTAGACACTCTAGAATAATAAACCTAAAACTGTTCAATCAAGAGTTAGCTCCTAACTAAGCCAACTACCATTTGCCCATCAACACCTCATCATATCTGCCTTTTCAGTCTGGCTTACTGACTGGCAGGTCCACAATACTACTCCTTCTTTTCTTACCCCATCTCTTCTCCTCCCTCCCTGCCAAAAAAGGGTCATTAAGTGCCTACTATATGCTACTGCCCTATGCACACTTCAAATCAAAGGGTAGGGAAATAGTAGCTGAAAAGAACAATCAGGAGAGCTTTATCAGTTTATGCACCCTACTGGCCATGGTGGTGCAGTGGTTAAAGTGACTGACTGCTAACCAAAAGAATGTGGTTCAAAACCACCAGCAGCTCTGTGGGAAAAAAATCTGCAAGTCTACTTCTGAAGAGATTTACAGCCTTGGAAACCCTATGGGGTAACTATGAGTCAGAATTGACTCAATAGCAGTGAGTTTTTGTTTCTGGTCAGATCGTACTTGAATTATTTTGTTACTGTGTACATGTGAGGAAAAACTTGCTAAGCATAGAACATAAAATGAAGCTGTATCTTATGGGAAAGAAGCGTTCAGCCTAGGAAAGGCAAAAAGTACATCTAGTTAAAAATACCTTAGAAAATTGCTCCCCTCACCCATTCCCCCCTACCAACCTTGCTAAGTGGTGGCAGGTCGCTCTGGCAAGGTGTCGGCCATTCACCTTGCCCCTCCCACCTCCTGACCCCACCGTGGAACCAGCTGCTCCCAATCACTTGAGCAGTGATAACTGTGCCCACATGCTCGCATGCCTGTGTACTTGCCTACTCGACACCTATTTCTCCATCCCCTACCCGGTGACTGGCAGCGAGTGCGTTCCCATGTGCTCGCTCACTCGTCACCCAAAGGCTCCCCTGCCTCTCCAACTGGAGATTGACGGGGGCTACGTCAAACACAGCACTTTTGATGAAGGACAGAACAACCAGAAAGAAACTCAGCAAAGATACAGAAGATCTAAACAACACAATCAACCAACTTCGCCTCATAGACATATACAGAACATTCCAACCAACAGCACAGTACACATTCTTTTCCAGTACACATGGATCATTCTCCAGAACAGACTATATATTAGACCACAAAGCAAACCTTAGTAAATTAGAAACATCAAAATAATAAAAAACATCTTCGTGGATCACAATGCTATAAAATTAGAAATCAGTAATAGAAAGAACAAGGAGATAAAATCAAATACATGGAAACTGAATAACACCCTGCTTAAAAACCACTGGGTAACAGAAGAAATAAAAAATGAAATAAAAAATTTCTAAATTCAAACTAGAATGAAAACACAACACACCAAAAGCAGTGCTCAGAGGTCAACTTATAGCAATAAACGGCACATATCAAAAAATAAGAAAGAGCTAAAATTAACACTTTAACCCTAAAACTCCAATAAACAGGAAAAAAAGCTCAAAAAAAGCCATCAGTCACCAGAAGAAAGGAAACAATTAAAATCAGAGCAGAAATAAAATGAGACAGAAAACAGAAGAACAACAGAATCAAACAAAGCTGGAAGTTGGTTCTGTGAAAAGATTAAAATCGACAAACCACTGGCCAAACTGACAAAGGAAAAGAGGGAGAATCTGCAAACAACACAAATAAGAGATGGGTGACGTTACAACCGAACCAACTGAAATAAAAAGGGTCGTAACAGAATACTGTGAAGAACTGAACTCCAACAAATTTGAAAACCTAGATGAAACAGACAAATTTCCAGAAACACATTATCTACCTCAACTAATGCAAACTGAGGTAGAAAATTTGAGGAGAGCCATAACAAAAGAAGAAATTGAAGAGGTCATTAAAAGAACTCCCAACCAAAAAAAAAAAAAAAAAATGCTTGGCCCAGACAGCTTCACTGGAGAATCTACCAAACATTCAAAGAGCTGACACCAATTCTACTCAAAGTATTCTAGAACATAGAAAAGGAAGGAATATTCCCGAATTCATTCTATGAAGCAAGCATAACCCTGATACCAAAGCCAGCCAAAGACATGACTAAAAAAGAAAATTACAGACCAGTATCTCTCATGAATATACACACAAAAATTCTCAACAAAATTCTAGCCAATATAATTCAGCATCATATCAAAAACATAATACATTGTGACCAAGTGGGATTCATACCAGGTATGCAAGGTTGGTTCAACATTAGAAAATTAATCAATGTAATCCACCACATAAATAAAACAAAGGAAAAGAACCACTTGATCATATCAATTGATGCAGAAAAGGCATTTGATAAAATCCAACATCCATTCCTGATTAAAACTCTCAGCAAAATAGAAACAGAAGGGAAATTCCTCAACATAATTAAGGGTATATATACAAAACCAATAGATAACATTATTTTCAGTGGAGAGAGACTGAAAGCATTCCCCTTGAGAACGGGAACTAGACAAGAATGCCCCTTATCACCACTCCTATTCCACACTGTACTGGAAGTCCTACCCAGAGCAATAAGGCAAGAAAGGGAAATAAAAGTTATCCAAATTGGTAAGGAAGAAGTAAAACTATCCCTATTGGCAGATCATATGATCCTGTACATAGAAAGATCGCAGAGATCTTACAAGAAAGCTACTGGAACTAATAGAAGGACTCAGCAAAGTGGCAGGTTACAAGATCAACAAACAAAAATCAGTCGGATTCCTCTACACGAACGAAGAGAACTCCAAAAAGGAAATCAAGAAAACAGTGCCATTTAAAATAGTCACCCAAAAGATAAAATACTCAGGAATTAACCTAACCAGGGAAGTAAAAGATTTTTACAAAGAAAACTACGAAACACTATAGCAAGAAACTAAAAGAGACCTATATAAATAGAAAAACATACCACACTCATGGATAGGAAGACTTAACATTGTGAAAATTTCAATACTACCCAAAGCCATCTATAAAGTAATCCTGATTCAGATTCCATCAACATTTTTAATGAGATGGAAAAACTAAACACCAACTTTATATGTAATGGAAAGAGGCCCCAGATAAGCAAAGCGCTACTGAAGAACAAAGTAGGAGGCCTCACACTTCCCAATCTCGGAACCTACTATAGAGTCACGGTAGTCAAAACAGCCTGGTACTAGTACAACGACAGATACGTAGACCAACGGAACAGAATAGAAAACTCAGAAGTAAATCTCTCCACCTATGGACAGGTGATCTATTTCCCCCTTCAAGGGGGAAGTGATAGTCTCTTTATCAAATGGTGCTGGCAAAACTCGATACCCGTTTGCAGAAAAATGAAGGAGGATCCATACTTCACAAAAACTAATTCAAAACAGATCAAAAACCTAAATGTAAAACCTAAAAGTATAAAGATTATGGAAGCAAAAACAGAAGCAAACCTAGGGGTCCTAACCTTATGGCATAAACAGACTGTCAACATAATTAAAAAGGCACAAGCAGCAGAAGATAAATTTGATGACTGGGACCTCCTAAAAATTAAACACTTATGCACACTAAAAGACTTCTCCAAAGAGTGAAAACCTACAGACTGGGAAAAAAAATTTGGCAATGGTATATCTGACAAGGACTAATTTCTAAAATTTATCGAAGACTTCAACACCTCAACAACAAAAAAAATCCAATTAAAAAAAATGGGCTAAGGACATGAACAGACACTTCATGAAAGAAGACATTCAGGTGGCCAACAAATACATGAAGAGATGCTCACGATCCACAGACATTGTTGTTAGGTACCACTGAGTCAGTTCTGACTCACAGCGACCCTATGTACAACAGAATGAAACACTGCCCAGTACTGCGTCATCCTCACAATCACTGTTACTCTTGAGTCCATTGTTGCAGCCACTGTGTCAATCCATCTCCTTGAGGGTCTTCTTCTTCTTCGTTGACCCTCTACTCTACCAAGCATGATGTCCTTCTCCAGGGACTGGTCCCTCCTGATAACATGTCTAAAGTACTTGAGACAAAGTCTTGCCATCCTCACTTTCAATGATCATTCTGACTGTACTACTTCCAAGACAGATTTGTTAGTTCTTTTGGCAGTCTATGGTTGTCTTAGTCATCTAGTGCTGCTACAACAGAAATACCATAAGTGGATGGCTTTAACAAAGAGAAATTTATTTCTTCACAGTAAAGTAGGCTAAAAGTCCAAATTCAGGGCGTCAGCTCCAGGGGAAGGCTTTGTCTGTCTGTCGGCCTTCTCATCAATGTTCCCCTAGACTAGGAGCTTCTCTGCACAGGGACCCCGGGTCCAAAGGACATGCTCTGCTCCTGGCACTGCTTTCTTGGTGGTATGAGGTGCCCATGTCTCTCTGCTCACTTCTCTCTTTTATATCTCAAGAGACTGCTTCAGGATATAATCCAATCTTGTAGATTGAGTCCTGCCTCACTAACACAACTGCCGCCCATCCTCCCTCATTAACATCATAGAGGCAGGATTTATAACATATAGAAAAATCACACAATACCAGGAATCACGGCCCAGCCAAATTGATACACATTTTGGGGGGACATAATTCAATCCATGACAATGGTATATTCAATATTCTTCACCAACAGCATAATTCAGAGGCATCGATTTTTCTTCAGTCTTCCTTATTCATTGTCCAGCTTTCGCATGCATATGAAGCCAGTGAAAACACTATGGCTTGGGTCAGGGGTACCTTCCTTAGTCCTTAAAGTGACATCTTTGTTTTTTAACACTTTAAAGAGATCTTTGCAGCAGATTTGCCCAATGCAATGCATCGTTTGATTTCTTGACTGTTGCTTCCATGGGCGTTGATTGTGGATCCCAGTAAAATGAAATCCTTTAAAACTTCAGTATTTTCTCCGTTTATCGTGATGTTGCTTATTGGTCCAGTTGTGAGGATTTTTGTTTTATGTTAAGGTGTAATCCACACTGAATGCTGTGGTCTGTGATCTTCATAAGTAAGTGCTTCAAGTCCTCTTCACATTTAGCAAGGAAGGCTGTGTCATCTGCCTATTGTAGGTTGTTAATGAGTCTTTCTCCAATCCTGACGTCGTGTTCTTCTTCACATAGTCCAGCTTCTTGGATTATCTGCTCAGCATACAGAATGAATACGTACGGTGAAAGGATACAACTCTGACGTGTACTTTTCCTAACTTTAAACCTTACAGTATCCCCTTGTTCTGTTAAATGACCGCCACTTGGTCTATGTACAGGTTCTGCCATAAGCACAATTAAGTGTTCTGGAACTCCCATTCTTCGCAGTGTTATTCATAATTTGGTATGATCCACACAGTTGAGTGCCTTTACATAGTCAATAAAACACAGGTAAGCATCTTTCTGGTATTCTCTGTTTTCCGCCAAGATCCATCTGACATCAGCAATGATATCCCTTGTTCCACATTCTCTTCTGAACCCAGCTTGAATTTCTGAAGTTCCCTGTCGATGTACTGCTGCAACCACTTTTGAATGATCTTTAGCAAAATTTTATTCGCTTGTGATATTAATATTGTTTGATAATATCCACATTCAGTTGGATCATCTTTCTTTGAAATGGGTACAAATATGGATCTCTCCCAGTCCGTTGGCCAGGTAACTGTCTTCCAAATTTCTTGGCATAGACAACTGACCACTTTCGGCCCTGCATCTGTTTGTTGAAACATCTCAGTTGGCATTCTGTCAATTCCTGGAGACTTACTTTTCGCTATAGCGTTGCTACAAGTTAGAACTGACTCGTAGGCAGTGGGTTTGGTTTGGGTTTTTGGTTATTTTTCACCAATTCTTTCAGTGCAGCTTGGACTTCTTCCTTCAGTACCATAGTTTCTTGATCATATGCCACCTCCTGAAATGGTTGAACATCAACCAATTCTTTTTGGTACAGTGACTCTATGTATTCCTTCCATCTTCTTTTGATGCTTCCTGCGTTGTTTAGTATTCTCCCTGTAGAACCCTTCAATATTGGCAACTCGAGGCTTGAATTTTTTCTTCAGTTCTTTCAGCTTGAGAAATGCCCAAGCATGCTAGACATTAGAGAGATGCAAATCAAAATAACAAGGTATCACCTCACTGATGGGGGAGGGAAAAAAAAAACAGAAAACAACAAATGCTGACAAGGGTATGGGCAGACTGGAACTCTCATACACTGCTAGTGGGAATGTAAAATGGTATAACCATCATGGAAAATGGTATAGTGCTTCCTCAAAAAGTTAGAAATAGAAATCCCACGTGATCCAGGAATCCCACTGCTAGGTACATACCCTAGAGAAATAAGAGCTGTGACACGAATAGATACCTGCACAACCATGTTCACTGCAGCATTATTCCTACTAGCAAAAAGATGGAAACAACCTAAGTGTCCATCAGTGGAAGAATGGATAAATAAACTGTAGCACATACACACAAAATGGAATACTACACAACGTTAAAGAATAACGATGACTCTGCCAAACATCTCACAATATGGATGAACCTGGAGGACATTATACTGAGTGAAATAAGTCAACCACAAAAGGACAAATATTTTATGAGACCACTATTATAAAAAGTCAAGAACAGGTTTACACACAGAAACATTCTTTGATGCTTACCAGGGATGGGAGGGGGAAGGAGAGAAAATCACTAACTAGATAGTAGAGATGTTTTATAAATTGAGTGAAGGGAAAGACAATATACAATATGGGGGAAGCCAGCACAACATGACCAAGGCAAAGGAAGACGCTGAGAGGTATGTATGCAAGAGTAAAAGGCAACAAGGCTAAATACTATTACATACACAATGTTGCAACAACAGTAATAACAAACAGTAATTTATGAGTAAACATGTAAGCTGAACAGGTGTGGGAATGGCGTATAGGAGTACACCCACAAGCATATATAGGTTTCGCAGAGGATATTTCTACATAAGCGCTTGTATGTGCTGCAAACATATCCACGTATATAGTAGAGCACTCAGGTGGCACAGTTATGAAAACTTCTTAGCCATAATCAAATGCTGAGGGACTGAGTCACTGGGCTTGAGGGCTTAGGATCATCTAAGTCAATTAGCATAACATAATCCGTAAAGACAATGTTCTACATCCTACTTTGGTCAGTAGTGACCAGAGTCTTCAAAGCTTGTGAGCAGTCATCTAAGATACAACTATTGGTCTCTTTCTGTCCAGAGCAAAAAAGAGTGAAGAAAATCAAAGTCTCAAGGAAACAATTAGTCCAAAGACTAAATGACCACAGCCTCTACTAGCCTGAGACCAGAAGAACTAGATGATGCCTCACTACCACTATCGACTGATCTGAGTGGGATCACAGTAGGTTCTGGCCAAAGAGGGAGAAAAACGGAGAACGAAATTCAAATTAGTAAAAAGACCAGACTTACTGGTCTGGTAGAGACTGGTGGGACACCTGAGACTATGGCCCGTAGACACCCTTCAAACCTGGAACTGAACTCACTTCCAGAGACAAACTTCCAGCCAAACAACAGACTGGCCTATAAGGTGAACAGTAACACCTGTGAGGAACATGCTTCTCAGAACAATCAACTATTCGAGACCAAATAGGGAGCATCTGCCCAAAGACAAAGTTAAGAAGGCAGAAGGGGCAGGAAAGATGGATGAATGGAAACGGGGAATTCTGCGAGGAAGTGCGCAGAGTGCTGTCACATTGAGGGGATTGCAACTAACGTCATGAAACAACATGTGTATAAATTGTTGATTGGGAAACTAATTTACTCTGTAAACTTTCACTCAAACCAAAATAAAATGTTAAAAAAAAAAAATCAAATGTGTACTCACCAAGGATATTCTCATGGCGCATAAGCACAGTTTGGTAGATTTCAGTTTCTCGAAACCAGCTAGCTTCTTCAGTGGTAAAAAACACTTTGACTGCCACTTTTTCACCACGCCATTTACCCATCCACACTTCTCCATATCGGCCTTTTCCAACTTGCCGAACCATCTGAATCTGTTTGGCAATCGTTCGCTGAACCTTCATTAAAAAAAAGTAAAAGGTTTTGATCTCTTGACAAAAAAGAACTTGTTAAGACCGAGAAATTGGTCCAATCATCTATTCCATGAAAAAGCATGGTATATCCAACCAACTGACCAACTCCAGTATTATAATACTTCCCCCCTCCCGGCAGTCACGCCCTTGGGTAGTATCTTCCCACACTCTATGCTTGGCCACATGACTTGCGTCTGCCAGTAGAACAATAGCAAATATGATGCAATCAAAGACTTGAAAAGTGCTTGTGCATTGGGACTTGCCCTCTCTTGAGGTTCCTGGGAACCCTGCAACCAACGAACACCACCATGTGAATGATCAGCCATGGGCATGAACTGTAACATCCAGCTGCAGCTGAGCAAGTACAGAAGAACTACCCAATAGACTCACAGAATCATGAGAAATAATGTTTGTTGCTTCAAGCCACTGAGTTTCGGGGTGGTTTGTTATGCAGTAAAATCTAAACGACAGTTACAAATCTTCAACTCAATTCTATGAGACCCTATATGATCTGGTCCCTGCTTAATTTTCCAGACTTATCATTTGTTATAATTACCCACTCCCACCCCTCTTATTTGCCTTTTTCCAACTCTTAGAATTCACTCAAGCTCATTCCTGTCTTTTTGCATGTGCAGTTCCCTTTAATTAGAATGCTATTTCAGTGTTAACATCTCTCTCTCTGTTTTCTGGTTCCAGGAGCTTCTCAGCGCAGGGATCCCGGCTCCAAAAGACGTGCTCCACACCTGGCGTTCTTCCTTGGTGGTGGCAGGATCCTCTACCCACCTCTGGGGTGCCTCATTTCAAGCCCAACGGGATGGCAAAACTGACCAATCCCCTTGGTGGGCCACCATTACCCTACTTGCACAATCCCACCCAATCACTTGGATGGGAGTTACAAGACCATGGCGAGAAAGGCCACACGAAAGTGATCCACTGCACTACATGTGCCATCCTCACAATCGTTGCTACTTGAGCCCATTGTTGCAACCACTGTGTTAATCAACCTCATAGAGGGTCTTCCTCTTTTTCTGGTGACATTCTACTTTAGCACACATGATGTTCTTCTCCAGGGACTGGTCCCTCCTGATAACATGTCCAAAGTACATGAGATGATGTCTCGCCATACTCGCTTCTAAGGATCATTCTGGCTGTACTTCTTCCAAGACAGATTTGTTCGTTCTTCTAGCAGTCCACGGTATACTCAACATTCTTCACCAACAACATAATTCAAAGGTATTAATTCTCCTTTGGTCTTTCTTATTAATGTCTAGCTTTTGAATGCATATAAGGCGACTGAAAATACCATGGGTCGGGTGAGGCACGCCTTAGTCTTCAAGTTGACACCTTTGCTTTCCAACACTTTAAAGAGATCTTTTGCAGCAGATGTGCCCAGTGTATAACTGTCTAAAATGGTTTGATTATTGAATTGTAGAAGTTCTTTATGTAGTCTGGGTACAAATTTTTTATAAGAGATGTGTTTTGCAAATATTTTCTTTCTGTCTGTGACCTGTCTTTTCATATTCTTAACAGTGTCTGCTCAATAGCAGAAGTTTCTAATTGTGACAAAGTCCACATTATCTTTTTTTTTTTTAAATGATTCATGATTCTTTTGTCCTAAGAAATCTCTGCTCAACCCAAGGTCACAATGATTTTCTCCAACGTTCTCTTCTGGAGGATAGTCTTAGTTCTTATATTTAGGTCTATGATCTATTTCAAAAGTTAATTATTGTTTATGGAGTTAGGTAACAGTGGAGTTTCACTTTTTGGAAAACAGATGCTTAATTTTTCCTTCACCATTTGTTAAACAGACTATCTTTCCCCGTTGAATTACCTAGGTGGTTTGGTCAAAAATCAGTTAGACATATACATGTGGGTCACTTCTGGACACTATTCTGTTCCACTGATCTATGTGTCTGTCCTTATGCTAATACCTGACTGTGCTGATTATCATAGCTTTATAGCAAGTTCAGAAATTAGGTAGTGAGGTGTCCAAATTTGTTTTCTTTCAAAATTGTATGGCTCTTCTATGTCTTTTGCATTTCCATATAAATGGTAGAATGAGGTCATCAACTGCTACAAAGGGTCTAATCTAATTCTGATTTGGAGTGAACTGAAACTATACATCAATTTGAGAATAACAAAAATCTTAACAGAGTCTGAGTGCTCCATTTCATAAACAGGATATCTACATCCATTAATTTAGGTCTTCTTTAATTTCTTTCAGTAATATTCATAGTTTTCAATGTGCAGGCCTTGCATAAATTCTGCTAAGATTATTCCTAAGTATTTCATGGTTTTTAATGACATTATTTCTTAAATTTCAACTTCCAATTGTTGTTGTGTGCTGTCAAGTTGATTCTGATTCGTAGCAACCCTATATGAAAGAGTGGAACCGCCCCATAGGGCTTCCTAGGCTGTATGTAATATTTACAGGAGCAGATCACCAGGTCTTTTTTCCCACAGATCCGCTGATGAGTTTGAACTGCCAACCTTTCAGCTAGCAGCCAAGCACTTAATCACTGCGCTACCATGGCTCCTTGTTTGTTGTTAGTACATATAAATCCAATGATTACTATACAGTAACCTTGTATTCAAATTCACTCATGTTGTCTGGATAAGACTGTTTTTACTTTTTCCTTTCCAGTTCAATTACAGCTGTTTGGACAAAATTTTAAATTAGAGATCAATGTATTTATTTTAACCAAATGTAATTAAATGAACAGTTAGAAACCTATCTGGACACCTAGTACTTATTTATTATAAGGGTCCTCTCCAATAGAGTCCTCTCAACCCCAAAATCTGAGTATTTCTATCTAGAACTGTATTAGAATTATTTACAATCCCCTTTGAAATTATTCTGATTAAACTGTTTTGATAAGGTAGTATCATATTGAGGAAAGTGTCCTCTCTATGAAGATCTGTGAGAGAAACCTCTTTGATTTCAAAATCTGAAATAGTTTTACTTCCAACCAATCAGTTTAACCTTATTAGATGCAAGGAATCTTATACCTGATTTCTCTTCAAGTTGGCTATTAAAATGCTGAGAGCAAAAGCTGTGAGCTACCTCTAGCACTTCTATAGGACTTGATGACCACGTTTTCTTTACTAACCTCGCCTGTGGCTCTACCTTACTTTCCCATCCTATTTTTCTTATTTTTAATTAATTTCATCTTGTATTATGATATGCTTCTTTGTAAATGAGGAGAAAAAAATTTACATGTGCTGTTATGGATTGAACTGTGTCCCCCAAAAATATCTGTCAACTTGGCTAAGCCATGATTTCCAGTATTGTGATTGTCCACCATTTTGTTATCTGATGTGATTTCCCCATGTGTTGTAAAACCTATCTCTATGATGTTAATGAGGTGGGATTAGTAGCAGTTGTTAACGGGGCGGGACTCAATCTACAAGATGAGGTTATGTCTTACATCAATCACTTTTGAGATATTAAAGAAAGAAGCGAGCAGAGAGACATGGGGACCTCACACCACCAAGAAAGCAGCGCCAGGAGCATAGCACGTCCTTTGGACCCAAGGTCCTTGCGCTGAGAAGCTCCTGGACCGGGGAAGATTGATGACAAGGACCTTCTCCCAGAGCTGACAGAGAGAGAAAGCCTTCCTCTGGAGTTGGCACCCTGAACTCGGACTTCTAGCCTACTACATAGTGAGTGAATAAATTTGTTTGTTAAAGCCATCCACTTGTGGTATTTGTTACAGCAGCACTAGATAATTAAGACGTGTCTAGCAATGTTTTCCAACTTGCATAATCATGCAGTCTACCATCATATGAGGCTATATTCTATATCAATACAGCATTCACATTTATATGAAATTTTGTCTTACCAATAAAGGTAGCCCTGATCCACTACCAGAACTCTGTGACTGGTCAATAAGGTCTTTTAATGATTCTCCAACTGGAATAAATGCTTCATCCTGTTCCAAATCACGATTATAACGGCGTCTGTTTGAGATGCTCTTGCAATAATGCCTTTGAGAAAAGCAGAAAACAATCTATACTACAGTATTAAAATTCTGAGATAAACTTTGAGATTGTTTACACCATCATCCTTCCTTCAGACAGAATCATATGCAAATTAGTCTGTTATAAAATGTCTAGAAATGGAATTTATGAGGTAGACTCCTACGTACTTTTTAAAATGGGAAGACGGCTATGGTGTATTGGCAAGTGAAAAAAGTAGATTAAAAACATCATGTAAAGTGGGTCCTAGCTATAAAAACTGTTAAAAATATATATGTTCACATACAACTAAAAAGCTTTGAAGGGATATATAGTAAGCTGCAACTATAGTTATTTTGAAGGCCTAAGAATATTCACTTTCTATTATACACATATTTTTGTATTATTTGAATTTATAAGTACCTATTTTTGTATTAAGACAATAAATGTATTTTCATATTGAAAAAAGGGAAAAGGAACTTACAGAAAATAAATTAGACAAGTTCTCTTAATAATTCATTCCGTTATTTTTGAAGACCTCTCACCTACAAACTTCAAATTATAAAATATTTCAAACATACAGGAAGGTAGAGATTAACTGCACCAATATGTACACCATTCAAACTTAAAAAATATTAATATGCTATATTTATTTTAGATATATAGTAAAACCTGTGAAAGCTGAAACCTATGTAAGGCAGAAACCTGTCAGAGAAGGAAAACGTAAATATTTTCCCCTAATAGAGAGCAAAAGAAAAATGGTAAGCTGCATCCTGTCAAAGGCAGAAAAACAAGGCTGTCTCGGTGAGTTCCAGCTCTCTCAGGTTTCACTGTATTTTAAATAAATAAATATCATTGAACTGTTTGAAACTCCAACCATTTTCCTGATAACTCCATTTCTGTCCTTTTTTCCACTATCCTGAAGGTGGTTATGTATTTATACTTCTACTATATATGTATATATTCATAACAACATAGCTTTTGTGTGCAAAAATTTACATAAACAGCATATACTGAATTAATACTCTGCAACATGTTTTACACATTTATCCATGTTGATATATGTAAAGAACAGCTCATTTTTATTGATGTGGAATGTGTCAGGCAATGTTCTATTTTACGTGTTCATCTCACTTTCTCTGTATAAAATTCCTAAGATGCAAGTACTATTGTCCCTGGTAGCCACTAATTTACATTTATCTCTATGCATTTGCCTACTCTAGATATTTCATATAGTGAAATCAATACAATATTTATCCATTTGTGTCTTATTTTACTTAGCATAATGTTTTCAAGGTTCATGTATGTTGTACTGGCCCAATAAACTTTTAAGTCACCTGTGGAAGTGACACTGAGGAGGGGTGAACCTCGCATGTTTACTTTCTACCCTTCTGTAGTGCTGAACCTTTTCTACAATAGAATGCCTTACTATTATAATCTTAAAAGCTAATACAGTTCGTTAGAAACATTTAAAACAAGATAGTGGGTGGGGGGCAGGGTTAAGACAATAATTTTAAAATTCAACTGAAAAAGCAAAATCAAAAATATTAGGTTAGTGAGCTATACTAAAATTTTATAACAAGGCGTATCACCAAATAGTGATCAAAACTTAGCCAACTCTCTTCTGAATCATGATTAAATGCAAACAATTTTGAAGCCCCAAATAACCACATAACTATAATATAGTTGGTTTCTTGGGACAAATTTTTAAAACTCAGATAGATGAAAGCTCAACATTCTATTAATAAGAAAATTATAAGTACTCATGAACATACATGAGCATATAAATAAGTATAAAATGATGTCCAATTCACTGACTGGTAGTGAGACCCTTTTTTCCCTTATAAAACTACAGACTAGTTACAGGAGAAATACCAGAGAATACAGGTCAACAGTTTCTGAAGTGCATACGGTGGTCAGTGGTTTCTGCCCAGTGGCTTTAAGAACAACTGTTCAACAAAGTATTCAACAAAGTATTCTCAATATTTTACATCTTTTCAGAATATTGTAAGTATTCCCAGTGAATCCCTAATACTCAATGGTTTTTAAATAAATATTCAAATTGAACCTGACAGTTCCCCCTACCAAAATAAATCTTCTTACTTGTAACAAAAGCAGCTGAAGAAGATGATCATAGCCATGATGCAGACAGCCATAGAAATGAGCACAACCAGCCACCGAATGCTGCCATCGAAAAATGGACCTGACAATGGAAGTAAACATATTATCTTTCTATCACAGTTCATTAAAAACAAAAAATAATTTGAGTGCTAAATTCTAGACAGCCTGCTTATTGTTAAAGCCACAGAAATCATTTTAGTGAAAATCATGCTCAGACTTTTCTCAGCTAACCTACCTATAACAACAGGGGGCAGTGTAGGTTGTAAATACTGGTTACATAAATTGGTCCGACAACATTCTATTGTCCGTCGTAGCTGGGCTTTTGGTGAATCCTACAGGAAGAGTAATGGTAAAATTAGAAACACTTTAATATACTACAGTATATGTATATGATACATATACCAAATTGATACTAAAATTTTAAAATATTTATTTATAAAATGTATTTTCTAATTCAGTGGGTGAAAAGGATCTACAAATTTATGTGAAAAAACAATTACTAGAAGTTTAGAAATATTTCTGCTGAGATATTGCTGTGAAAACTGTAAAAATTTTCCTAAAGGAGAACACATGTATGTAGATGGTGTGTTAAAATTACAGATAAACAAGTCTAAGCGTTTTCTGCTCCAGACTTTGGCATAAAGATGTATTAAATATTTTTAGTAAGAATATTTATTCTAATTTAGTTATTTTTTAGTAGGAAACTAATTACTCAAAAGTCATGCGATCTTTTCTTAAACAGTATAGGTAATAAAGCAGATGTAATTATAATTACAAACTAGTATGGTAAAAAAGATATCAGTAATTTTGAGACTTACATGGTAAGACTTAATATCAGACTAAGGCAGAAAGTATCCTACTCCAAAGTCTGGTTAAGAAAGGTGGTGGAGTAAAGCAGAAGATACTATATAGATTCTGTATGTAACAACTATATGGAAATCAATGAACCTGAAGTGGAAGCAAGCTGCAGCATACATGGGTAAGGGAAAGGGCAAAACACAGAAACAATATTCCTGAGAGTTTACTGGACACCACCAACCAGATAGGAGACGTGTCCCTAATAGATTAGAAAATTGGCACAGAGAACATCCTGTAGTCATGGAAAGGGAACACACATCAACAATTATATGTGAAGTTTTATCTGATTAATAGTACAGTATTTGACAAGTTCTTAACTTGAATGCTGACATTTCAACACTGCCTGGGAGAACAGCTATTCTGAACTGAAATGCCACTAAAAAATAACTGTCATTGCCAAAGTGGTAAGAATAAAAGTAGGAATTAAGCATGATATTCTTAAATATGAGATGGCCAGAAAAGGAAAGCCTCAGTACAATCGATATTATTTTACAAAAGGTGGACATCAGTCCATGATTTTGAGATTCTGTGAGGGAACAAGGGTCAAAGAGCATTTGGAAGCTATCAAAAGAACAACTTTTATCTTCTAACTGAAATTTTTACCTTTTTTTTTCCTTACAAAACAAATTTTCCTTTTAAATGATTGTTAAAAAAAGATAGGAAAAGAGAGAGATGTTCGGAGTTACACTAGCAACTCTGAAATTATCCCAGATTTAGAGAAAACTTACGTGAAGGATGGAATGAAGAGCACAGCACTAAACGGGAAAAAAAGAAATACCAAGAATCTGAGAATAGTGCCAGGAAGACTAAAGTCCAAAACAAACTTAGCCTTGCAGAAAATGCAAAGAAAACCCAAGAAAGGGTTTACCTGGCAGTGCTTAGAGAGAAGACCACCAAGTAATAAACAGATCTATTGGTTACATAATTGGGGGCAATGGAGGACAAACAGGACATACCATTCTACAGCTCCTGTATTGCTTCTGCTTCTCTATCAAGGATGATTATAGGAATGAAGAAGACAGACCAAACACCAGTAAGTGAGAACTGGCATTCGAGATTATGAAGCGATCCTACAATGCTTTCGGTATTTTATATGAGCTCATATCTTCTAGCCTATGTGAATTATATCCCAGGAAAACGAGGGCACTTGTAGTAGGATGGCTGAAAGACAGGTGTGATTCAAGGATTGCAGAAACAAGGAGTGTTGGAAACTAGACAGCTAAATGTCATATTACTTTTTTTAAAAGACAAAGAAACTAGACTTTGCCAACAACAGACTGCAGGCAGCACCGTATGCTGGAAAAGCAAGGTCTTTGGAATCAAATAACTTAGATCCTAGCTTTGCCACTTACTGTCCTGGTGACCCTGAGTAACTAACTTCTCCCTGGCTGTTAGTTTCCTCCGCTATAAAATGGAAGATAAAAACATCTGCTTATGAGCTGGAGTCAACTCGACGGCAACGGGTCTGGTTTTTTGGGTTTACGGGATGACTGGGAGGCAATCAGGTAGAATATATCTCAAGCGCAAATAATAAACATCCAATAAATTCGTTCTTTTTCCCCTGATGAGCTTGACACTCATGTCAGACAAGACTGTAGAATAAGCCAATAAAGCTTGTAAACCCCTAAAGACTCAATATGGCTTTATCAACAATAAGCAATATCAGACTCACCTCCTATATTTCTGTCATAGCTTAACTATGTATCTGGGTAAGCGAAAGGTTTATCTAGATTATGAGGTGGGTAATATACCCTCCTCCTTTCCTGTACTTCTCCCAGACCCCCCCCCCCAATTCCAAATCAGTTTGTATCTCTAGATTTATATGGGGAATCAAAATCCTTGTTAGGGAAAAAATTCATATACCATTCATAAAATAGGAGATTCTGACTTAAGTCAACTATTTAGTGAGGCTGGATGGGGAGGGGGGTGCATGAGGAAGGAAACTGAGGCCAAATTACAAGAAAGAGCAGTGAAGATTCTGAGAAACACTCCATCCTACAGGAAGAGACAGAATACACTAGGATTTGCTAACAGAGACTGGAGGCTGGAATACGAATCAAAGTCTGGGCAAAGCATGGTGATTATCACTTGAATCTGTTCTGAAACAAACCTGGCAGTATGTGAAAATATCGGGCAGAAAAGGCTTAGCGTAAAATTAAAAGCACTCTTCTCCTCAGGTTAGGCACTAAATTAATGGATAGTGATATTTACAAAGACATGCATAAAAATAAACAATTTCAAAATTTTTGCTTGTGTAACTCCTAAAGTAATTCTGGAAAGCAATGGATTCCCCTTATACATATTTAAGCTGGCATCTAAAACTTTTCATCATAACTTTGAATAGCTGTAAAGAATATATTAATAATTTCTGGCTTACTGTACATACTGACACTTTAAACAGAACTGTTATATCATTCTTAAATCTATTCAGTAGAATCTAAACAGTATAGTAATTGATACCTATTATCATCCATTTAAAAAAAAATGCTTCTTTTAACAACTGGAAATTTTACAGTTTGCTATACCACTTCCCCCAATTCTTTAAAGTCTTTCTAAAATATATGCCAACTTGAGTGAAGGGTGAGACAAATTAAAATATATATATATATATATATATATATATATATATATATATATATGACAAAAATTCCATAATAATGCTATCACCAAAAATTTTCAAATGATATAGCAATTTGGTTAAAGGAAAAAATTGAAAACCACTGGATAATGCAAACATGTTTGATAACGACTCTCCCCAAAGCGATACTTATATTTCAAATTGTAACATTGTTTGGAAATATTTCAGGTTTTTGTTTTGAAAAGTGACTGTGAAAAGGGAAGACAAAAAGAGAAGTTGCCTGAGAAGTTCTGGTCACAGGCAGAACAGTATTTAGCAACAGGACCCATGGAAGTTTAGGATGTTTAAAGGGATTTCCTTAAAACTATGCATGTGTTTCAGTTATCATTAGAGAGTCTGTGTGTACCCGAAGACATGTGTAATCCAGTTTAACGACTTTTCATTTCAATTAGATAATCAATATAGTAAGGCGCCTTGGTGGCACAATGGTTAAAATGCTGGGCTACTAACCAAAAGGTCGGCAGTTCGAACTCACCGGTGATTCTCCGCGAGAAAATCCTGGCAATCTGCTCCCATAAAAAACACAGCCTAGGAAACCTATGGGGCAGTTCTACTCTGTCATATAGGGTTGCTAGGTGTTGGACCTCCACTCATCTGACAGTTTGTCATACCGTGGTGGCTTATATGTTGCTGAGATGCTGGAAGCTATTCCACCAGTATTTCAAATACCAGCGGGATCACCAAGCAGACAGGTTTCAGTAGAGCTTCCAGACTAAGACCAGTAAGACGGACCTAGCGGTCTACTGCTAAAACCTGGCCAGTGAAAGCCTTACGAACAGCAGCGGAATACCGGCTGATATAGTGCTGAAGATGTACCCTTCAGGCTGGAAGGCACTTAAAATATGACTAGGGAAGAGCTGCCTCCTCAGAGTCGTCCTTAATGATGTGGATGGAGTCAAGCTTTTGGACCTTCACTTACTGAAGTGGCATGACTCAAAATGAGAAGAAACAGTTGCAAATATCCATTAATAATTGGAATGTGGAATGTACGAAGTATGAATCTAGGAAAACTGTAAGTCATCAAAAATGAAATGGAATGCATAAAGATAGAAATTATATGCATTAGTGAGCTGAAATGGACTTGTACTGGTGATTCTGAATCAGACAATCATATGGTCTACTCTGCCAGGAATGACAGAGGAGTGGTGTGAAATTCATCATCAAAAAGAATATTTCAAGATCTATCCTGAAGTACAATGCCGTCAATGACAGGATAATATTCATATGGCCACAAGGAAGACCAGTTAATAAGACTACTATTCAAATTTATACACCAACCACTAACGCTAAAGATGAAGAAATTGAAGGTTTCTACCACCTTCTGAAGTCTGAAGTTGATCAAACATGCAAATCAGGATGCATTGATAATTACTGGTGATTTGGAATGTGAAACTCAAAAACAAAGAAGAAGGAATAGTAGTTGGAAAATATGGCCTTGGTGATAGAAATGATGCCAGAGATCACATAATAGAACTTTGCAAGACCAATGATTTCATTGCAAATACCTTTTATCAACATAAATGGCAACTATACAAGTGGACCTCGCTGGCTGGAATACACAGGAATCAAATAGACTACATCTGTGGAAAGAGACGATGGAGAAGGTCAATCTCATTAGTCAGAACAAGGTCAGGGGCCGCCTGGAACAGACCACCAATAGCTCATATGCAAGTTCAAGTAGAAGCTGAAGAAAATTAAAACAAGTCTACAAGGGCCAAAGTAGGACCTTGAGTATATCCTACCTGAATTTAGGGACCATCTCAAGGACAGATTTGACGAACTGAACACCAATGACCAAAGACCAGATGAGTTGTGGGATGACATAAAGGACATCAT